GCTTAGTGCCTTGCTGTTGCTGAGGCTAGCCTCAAACTTGCAATCCTCCTTCCTCAGCCTCCCAGGTGGCTGGGATTAGAGGGGTGTGATTTTTGACAGAGATATAAAGCAGAAACTGGAGGAGGGACGGTCTTTCAACAGGTTGCTGAGCCAGGAGTAAAATGGAGATAAGCAAAAAATGAACCTAGACATGAATCTCACCCATCACATTAAAATTGACTCAACATACATCATGGGCCACCTGCGAGCTGTGCAGCCACAGGGTGGGGATGTTTGGGCTGGGTGAGGTGCTCGTGCAGATGACACTGGCCCCACGCACAGGAGGGTCAGCGCCAGACTGGACTTCATCAAGTGTACAGACTTCTGCTTGCAAGAGACGGTGAGGAGGGTGAGAAGCCAGTCCGGGGGCCGGCCGGGGTGGGGGAGGAAATAGCTGCAAACTCCAGGCTGGCAAAGGGTGTGTCTTCAGCAGGCACCAAGGAGCTCAGAGCCACACGTGGTGACTGCTCCAAACAGGAGGGGGACAGAAGACAGGAGCGCGTCTGGTGCGGGGGACAGATGGGAGTTCACAGGCAAGCTGTGCTGCAGGGTTCGCGGCGAGGGAGACGTCACGAGCCGGGGTGACCGATCACTACACGTCCAGCACAGCAGCGACCACCCCAACGCCGGCTGGGCTGCAGAGGGGCCGGCCCCCCACATGGACGCAGCCCTGCCCGAGGGGCCTGGGGCCTTTCTCAGCCCACACCCCGTCTGGAGCGGCCCCGAGGCCCATGTGCTGAAGGCCCGATCCCAGCAGGGTGCTCCTGGGGGCAGGTGGAGGCCCAGCCCCGTGGGGGAAGTGAGGCCGCTGGGGCGTGCCCTGGAAGGATTGTGGCCCCCCACCGCTCCTCACCTGCCCCACGGGTGGGCAGCTTCCCTGCCACGTGCTCCTGCCACCATGCTCCACCTCAGCTCATCCCCCAGAGAAACAGGCCAGGCGACCGAGGACCCAGCCCTGAAACAGAGGAAAGGCAGACCTCTCTCCGTCCCTTAAGGATCGGTCACCGTGGGAAGCCCACTGAGGCCGGAGTGCAGGAACGGCCTCAGGGCCTTTGCTGCCGAGAAGTGAAGACGCACTGGAGCCGTTCCACGCCAGGCCACTGTGCCGTCCTCTGCCAGGACACGGTGCCTGCCCCTCTGGGCCACGTTGCCGTCCCCTCCAGGCCGTGGTACTGACCCTCTGGGCCCTGAGCGGTGGGGTGCTCTCAGTAGCTCTGTTTACTCATCTTTTCTCACTTTGTTTTTTGGTCTTGAGGATCGAACTCGGGGACTCGTGCAGGCCAGGCCAGCCCTGTGCCCCTGTGCCCACCCCATCCACCAGCCTCTTGCAAGAGCCCAGCGCCCTCCTTGGATGGCAAGCTGAGGGAGGTCTGCGACCACAGCCTTCTGCTCTGCCGTGAAAGGACCGAGCTACGGACACACAGCACCTGGATGAGCCCCCAGAGGACAACTGGGAAGGCCAGTCCCCAGCAGTCACTGTTACGACCCCATCTATTCAGCGCTCTTGAAACAAGCCACCGAGGTCAAGTGCAGATTAGGAGTGGCGGGGCTGAGGGGACGCAGGGGAGGAGGCCTGTGTGGCTACAGAAGGCGGCAGGCGGGGTCCCCGATGGGCCCTCCTGTGTCTTGATGGTGGTTCCTGCAGCGGCACGTGTGACAGACTGCGCAGAAGTGCAGGCACACACCCGGTGCGCAGGGACGCTGGCAGGCCTACAGAGGCGGGGTGGTGCCGACTCCTGGTGTGGCCCGGTGTCACAGCCCTGCAGCACCCCACGGGGGCAGGCCGAGGGGCTTGGCTCCACTGTTTTGGGAGCTGCATGCGATTCTATACTTTTCTCAAAATAGTTTTATAAAAGACGCTTCTTCCAGTGAAAGCCTCCCACCGTGGACCTGATGAAGGTGGGTGCTCGGGGTGGTGGGAGGGACCCAAGCCCTGGCCACAGGCTCCTGCCCGAGACCCTCAGGGACTAGGCCCCGGGCACCCCTCCTCCAGGCCCTCCTGTGCCTCTCCAGCTGGACCTTCTCCTGGGAGCCCTGATTTGGGCCCCTCCTGGGGGACCTGGATTGTTTCTCTGGAAGGCATCTGGATCCCAGGTCAGTCGATGTCCCCAGGACACGCTCCCTCCTTACGCTGAGCTGATGGGGCGTAGGGTCAGTTTGGAGCAGGCAGGAAGCACAGGGGCAGCGAGGGTGTGGCATCGGGGCACACAGAAGGAGGACGTGCTCTTCCTGTGCCCCACGGGCTCAGCAGGGTTGGCGTCAGACCCAGGGGACCTTCCTGGACTTGGGTGGGACCTGGGAGGAGAGGGCGCCCTCTCCGGGGCCTGTGGCGGGGAGGCCAGTGTGGCCCTGGAAGACTTCCCTGAGAGTGACCCCTCAAGGCCAAGGAGAGGGCCAAGGAGTGGTGAGCAACAGTCTGGAAAGTTCCGTCTCCGCCGTGGGAACAGGAAGAGCTGCCACCACCTCTGGACTCAATCCACGAGGGCCAAAGCGTGGCCATCCCACGGGGCCCTGAGTGGCTCTGCCCTCTGCTTCCTGGGGAGATCTAAGGGTTGTGACCCGAGCCACAGTCTGTGCTGCTCTGCTGAAGAGGGTGGCACCGAGCGCCAGGCCCCCTGCCCGCAGGAGCAGGCCAGCCGTGTCACAGAGGGCGTCAAGCAGTGAGGGGCCAGGCTGGGAAGGGAGGGTGATGCGGGCTCCTGGTGGCCCTGGGCCCAGGCCGTCACTGCTGTCCCCGGTGAACGCAGCGCTCTCAGCCTGTCAGTATTTAGTCTTCCCTCCACTCCTTTCCACGGGCACCTGAAGCCCTTCCTTGGTCTCGCCTCCAGAGCAGGTGGCTGACTCCTCACCCCAGATGCCATGAGCTCCCCATCACTGTCATCTACCGAGGCACAAGAGGAAGCTGCTGAGGCGGTTTCCAGGTCCTGGGGACCCGCGGGGAAGGCTGCCATGCTCTTTTGGACGCCTGGTCCTTGCCCTTGATGGGCTGATGGAGGAGAGGGCTGGCTCAGGGCGGCCAGACTGGGCACCAAACGGGTCCTTCCAGCACGGAGCCGGACTGTGTCCCTGGGGCTCTGACAGGGGCACTGACGCACAGTCCTGGAAAGGCTCAGGTGGGGGAGAGGAGGCACAGTGGAGGGATCAGGGCCCCGGGCAGGGCCAGCCCTCACAAGGCCCGCCTGTCGGCCGGGGTCCCCAGACTCTTCAGGAGGCGAGGGAATCGCTGCGTTTGTAACCCTAATGGGCAAACCAGCCACACGTTGGGAAGACTTTCACTATTGATTTGTTTTAAAGTAAGATGTGGAAAATTGATTTGTGATAGAAGGGCCCGGAGAATCCCGCTGCCTTTCAACAGGCCTGGGCCAGGGACATGGCCCTGACCCCCACAGGAATGCACCCAGCTGTGCCCACCCTCTAGAGCTGCGCTTGCTGCCCTCGTGGCTTTCTGTGGAGGCCTGTAGATAATTTCCTCACCCATCACCTGTCCCTGCCTCTCTAGGGACTGCCGGGGGTCCAGGATGCTGCAGAAACCGTGACACAGCCGTTCCCTCTCTCCGGGGACACTGGGCTCACCGCTCTCACAGTCCCCAAGACAATCAATCGAGAATGCGATTCCTGTTGAAACTGTGGCCCCCCGGGACAGGGACCTTCCTGCCCCAGCGACACCATGGGTCCTCCCTGGGACTCAGCTGAGCAGGTGGCTTCTGAAGCTGGCCCCGCCTGCTCTGCGTGCCCTGGATGCCATCACAGAAGTGGCCTCCGTGTGCTTCCGCAGAGCCCAGAGCCGACCTGCCTGTGGGCCTGCGGAGAGCAGGGCTGGGGTGGCCGGCTGAGACGCAGGACACCAGTGAAACCCCAAGTTCAGCTCCACGGGGAACCTTCCAAATGTAAGTCTGTCCCCCAGTTGCTTGGACAGCTCGTGTGGCCGTGTCCCCTGTGTTTCCAGTTGTCCTGGGAGCCTTGTGCTTCCGTGGCCACCTCCAGCAACCCTCGCAGAGGCCTTCTTAGTGACCTCATCGGCCCCTGCCCAACACAAGCGGGCAGTGCTGTTCTCACGGAGGACCCTCCCGCCCAGGAGGCAGCAGAGTGGGGGCTGGTCTTTCCACACAGAATGGGGTGTTGTTAACCCCCGGCCAGAGCGCCTGCTGCAGGTCTGAACCAGCAGGTGGACTGGCTGAGACTACCTCCAGCAAGTTCCCTGGGGCCGCTGCCACCCGTGGGCCACACCACCGGTGGGCCACACAGCGGCAAACAGGGCCGCCAGCTGCTGACTGCTTCCCTATGCTCCACCCCGCTGGCTGTGAGGCTCCACACTGCGGACGGGGAGAGGACACCCACTTCCTGGTAGTCACAGGGACACCTGCTTAGTAAGGGCCTGTGGCACATGACCAAGCCGTCACCATCAGCTGTGCTACAGGGGAGCCTGAGGAGGGACAGGCCCTTGGGTCAGCTCTGAGGGGACAGAGGGCCCTGCACATGGGCCCCCTCCTGGAGCTGGGGGAGCCTGGGCTGTTTCCTATTGTGTGTGGAGCCAAACCCAAAGTGGAGCCCAGGAGACCTCGGATGGCAGGTCTTGGCCTCCGGCTCCTTTCCTGCCCAGGGCCCTGCAGGAGCTCCCCGTCCCTGGCTCACCTGCAGCTGACCTCAGACCCTGCTGGGTGCTGCTCCTCCCCAGGCTCCAGTCCCCAGCCCACAGGATCCCTGAAGAGGGGCCTTCCCGGTTGACAGTGTCCCCCTGACTCTACGCCCGGTTTCCTCCCACGCCCACGTCGCTGCGGTTCACGGTGCTGTCACCCCTTGGTCTGCACCCCGCTGCACCCTGAGGCCCGTGAGCCTGTCTGGTGCGCCCTGTCGGTGGGTGAGACCGTGGCACCCGCACAGTGGGAGGCCCTGAAGACCCGCCCCTGCCTGGCAGAGCCTGAGGGTCCCGTGCCGGCGGCTGTGTCCGAGCGGCGGCCCACCTGGCTTGGAGCCTTCATCCACGGAGCCGTTGTAGACCTGGTTCAGGAACTCGGGGCGGTTGTCATTCATGTCGATGACGTAGATGTACAGGTCGATGGGGTTCTCCACCTTGTTGCCGTTCATGTCCACCGCGTGGGCCCGGAGCTGGGGGCAACAGACACGTCAGAGCCACAGCCACCTCAGGGTACCCCTGGCCCTGCCTGGGGCGGTTCCCTGGGGACGGCCGCACGAGGGAGACATGACAGCAGAGGCAGCTGGGCAGGGGACGGAGGGCTTTGGTACATCCAGAAACTCCTCTGACTCTCAGTTCTCACCTCTGTGCAAATGTGGCTCAGAGCAGGAGCCGGGCTGCCTTCTGGAGTCTCTACTGGCCGAGACTTCCAGGGCCTCCTGGCTCTTCTCAGACTGTCCCCAGATGCCTGGGGTAGGTAGGGACCCCTTACTGGGAGTTATGTCCCCACAGTGGCCACAGAAGGCCATTTATGCACAATAGAGTAAGGGGCTTAATGCCTGTTCCCGGGAGTCGGCCCTGGGTGGAGGCTGGGGAGAGGCACGGGACAGAGAGGACCCAGCCAGGTGAGGCTGGTTTGGGCGTCCACTGTAGGTCAGCCTAGACGGCTCACCCCGTCTGCTCCTGCTTGCATGTCGGTTCTAGGGCCTGGCCAGCACAGAAGTGGGAGACGAGAGCCGGCCCGGGGAGGGCTGGCCGGGAAGGTGCCTCTGCCGGGGAGACGCCCCAGGGGGCTTCTGTGGGAACTGTCTTGGAGGAAGAAAGGGAGGTCACCTGGACTCGGGCCGGAAGGCTGGGGGGCTGCTCAGACCCACGCCTTGAGGTTTGGACCTGTTCATCCACTGGCTCAGTGAATTCCTGGACCTGGCTGGACCTTAGATTATTATGTCCGGGGTCTTCAGGCAGGAGAGGGGCTGGTGGGGCCATCAGGGACCTGGGATTTTAGGGGAGCACCAACACTTGGGCAGCAGAAGGGGTCAGCCCATCCATCTCGACACCAGAGCCACAATGGTCACACTGTGATGACGCGACTCACATCTCTGCTGAAAGCAAGTCACCCTGCAATTGGACAGAGACTGGACAGAGAAGCACAGAAGTGCCCGTGGGGTTCTCCCCAGACCCCGGGACCAGGAGGAGGTGTGTCCCATGCCTGTGGAGGGAAGCGCCACAGCTGACGGTGACGTGTGGGCGTCTGCGTTTGTCTCGGGTTCCGAGAGCCAGGAATGGATTTCACCTCTGAACTGTGTGTTCCCGGGGAGTCCAGAGCCTGGTTTTACCAGGAGCAGGCGTGTGTCCTAGGAGACGTGTCAGGGACGCGTCCCCGGAGCCTGCAGGCAGCCCTGCCAGGGGGGCTGGGCACACGCCAGGCCAGCTCCGCGTCGTCTTGGAAATCTTGGAATGCCACTTGGTCACGTTAGTTGCTGTCCGGGGGCCACGGGCAGCCCACCCGCGTCATGCCCAGCAGGAGAAGGCTTCCCACAGTGCCTGGGCTCCTTTTGTCCCACTGGCCACGCAGTGTGCGCAGAGCAAAGGTACTTCTCCCGACCAAAGCCGCCTTCAGCTTCAGGAGCGCCCGGGGAAGCTCAGGAGCCAGCACAGTCCTCACCTCCCTGTCGGAGGCCCCTGGCTGTGGCTTCCCCAGAACCTTGGGGCACCTTCTCCCGGTCTGTCCTGAGGCTGGGTCACCCAGGGCTCGGGCTGGCCGTGCCTCCTGGGCAGGAGGGGTGACGACAAACATCCAGAGGAGCGGCCCAGCTTCCTGTCACTTGCAAACCCGGACATCGTGTGCAAGCAGAGTCTCCCAGGGCAGGCTGAGGAGGCCACTTTCCTGTCCCCAGTGGAGGTGACACTGGTGAATGCCGATGTGTAGGCCTGGTCACGCTGGAGAGGGAACGTGCCTGGGGACCGTGACGCCTGCTGACCCATGGCCTCGCAGCTGTCCCCACAGTGCTCTCCCCTTCTGGTCGCCCTCTCTTCTCCGAATCTGACCAGGGGTGAGCTTCCTCGGGAGCCACAGAACCCCAATGGCCCACGGCAGGTCGGGGGTCCTTGGAGACTCTTCCCCTTCAGCAGGTGCCTCAGCTCACCTCCCCGCCCACAGGCTTCCACAGGGCGGGCATTAACCCCATCCCTGTTCCGCAGGGGGAGGCCAGGCCAGGAGTGTAGGAACCCGCCAGGGTGACAGTGTGTGCCAGATTGAGTGTGTCTTCCTTATGGGGTCCTCAAATGGATCAGCTGGTCATTTTGCAAAACAAACATCTGAATGTTTACATGCTGGTTTGCTGAGGTGACAGGTGTCCACAAGTGGCCAGCACATTCTCCAACTAGGGATCCAGTCACTTGTCCCTTGTCAGCTGAAGGGCCCAGGTGGCAATGGACAGGGTTCAAGGGCTCTGGGAGGTAGAGACTGCAGGGTGGCTTCATGAATGTCAGCTGCTGGTCCCAGAGGGGATTATGACGCCATCCCGCCTGGGGGTTGGGTTATGTCCTTGGCACAGTTGACCCGGAGGCAGGGTGGCCTGACCCACCCTCCACCTGGGTCTTCTCAGCTGACCTGGTAGCGTGGGGGGACAGTGGTGGAGGCTTTGCTCCCTGTTGCTGTGCGGAAGCTCAGGCCCACAGGCCAAGCAAGGCGGGGGCCCTTGGAGGTGAGAGTGGCCCAGGTGGAGAGCCAGCAAGGACGTGGGAACATGGGTCCTGTGAGCCCAGGACTGGGAGTTTGCTGCTGGAGCCCTGAAGCCTGGAAGGCCCCAGGAGCGTCCAGGCCAGCTGGCACACTGACTTTGGCCTCATGAGACTCGAAGCAGGACCCTGGCCAGGCCCACCCCGTGTCTCACTACGTTTTAGGCACCAGGTTGGTGCTAATGTGTGGCGCAGCACAGAGACCGGCGCCCTTCCTGCCTGCCTGCTCGGAGCTCTGATGGGCCACCAGGCCCTCGGGGGTGGAATCCTCAGGGTGGACTGGCGTCCACAAGGAGGCCACGCCAGCAGCAGGCTCCTTCGCTGTGAGATGCAGGGTCTGGGCAAAAAGGGACACCAGGTTTCAATCCAGAATTTGGCAAATGGTCCTAGGTGTTCCATTGTGGGCCGTGGTTCCCGCTGACCTGCTGACCCAGTGGGCCGAGGAGGATGGGCTCTGCGGCCAGAGCAGCCCTGCTTGACCTGTTTTCCTCACCTTGAAGGCGGGAAGAGAGGCGAAGGTGACGTCTGGGAGGCTTGGCCCTGTGCAGGAGGCTGCGTGCACGCTCGCAGGGGGCTTTGCTGCCATGAACCCTAAACCTCAGGGCAGTGGGAGGAGGCAGAGGGGACGTGTGTGTGACAGTGTCTGGCAGCGGCCCAGACACAGAGCCTACTGTGGGGAGCCTTCTTAGGCTTAGGGTGACCATTTCCTGCAGCTCAGCTGGTGGCATGTCACAGCCGGTGGACTGTCACCCTGGTTCTGTGGACGAGCCAGGCCACCACCATGGGGAGCACCCAGGGCCCTAGGCTACCGAGGCCAGGTCTCCTCCAGCCTGGCCCAGGGGGGTGTGGAGGCGCTCTCTGTGCACATCGAGCTGTGCCAGGCCATGTAGGCCTCCGGACAGGCCAAGGGAGCAGAAGACCCTCAGGGGGTCACAGACTCCATCAGTCACCCTTGTCCCTTGGGGCCCACAAGTCGACTTCCAGGAGGTCCACTCTATGAAAATAGGGTCTTCAGTCCTTGGTGCCCTTGGTGGAGGATGGGCACAAGGGATGGCTCCAGACTGCTCTTGACCCAGAGTGGCCCGTGGAGTGCCCAGGAGCCTGGCCCCTCTCCTCTCCCGGCAGGAGCAGAGGCCTGCAGGTTCTCAAGTCCTGCTCCGTGAGGTGACACCATCCTAATGCCACCTGAATGAGTATGGGCATGCAGAGCCAGCGTCACGCCCAAGACCTGAGACCACACGACTCTCCTGCTCAAAGGGCCCTGTGGGAGGCTCAGCACGACACTCTGATCTCACCCTCCTGAGATTCTTGATAGGTTCTGGACAAGGGGCCCTGCCTTTCGCTTTGTGCCAGGACATGGAATTCTGAAGCTGTCCTGGACACAGGAGGAGCAGAGTAGGGTCCCTCCCTGCTCACCACTGTGGCCACACCAGGAGAGGCTGGAGGTTCCGAGGCCGGCCTCGCCTTGTGGGGAGGCTTTCTTTCAGTGGAAATTTCTCGGGATGTAGAGGGCAGGCTGAGAAGAGCCCAGGCTGCAGCTGGACGTCTGCAGCAGGAACACCGGCCTCACCAGGGCCCTGCCAAGGGCTACACCTCCTAGAGCAACTGAAGCAATTTTGCAGACATGTGACTGACAAGAACCACATTTCAGGGAGAAATCAAAGGGCCGCGGTGGAGGCCTGGGGTCAAGGCCTCCGGGAGGAGAGGAAGTTGGGGACTCTCTTGGCTGGACCTTCTTAGAGACCTCAGTGACTAAAATCAACCTGCTAATCCTGGAAAAGGTGAACTGAGTCAGAGTGGCCTCTTCATTGGCCTGTGTGGGACAAAGTGCTGTGACCAGGCTTCGGAGGTGACTGCTAGCCGGGGAGAGATGGCGGGCAGGCAGAGGGCTGAGCCACTGTGGGTGGTGGAGCTGTGCAGGGACCCGCAGTCCTGCTCACTGGGGGCAGGGGCCTGATTTCTCCCCACTCAGTGAAGGTCATAGGGCCCCCACGCCTAGTGGGACACCCTCTAGCCTGGGCACAGACCCTGGGTGCATTCTGGGGGCCTGTGTGCATGTGGGGGTGGAGGGCAGCAGGAGAGGATGGCGGGGGTGGAGCATGGGCTGCGTCCTCCTGAGCGTGTCCATGGGGGCGTGTGGTGTTGAGAAGAGCCAGGAGATTGGCGCTCCTCTTCTCCGGGTGACTTCACAGAGGGGCCCTGGGCCTCAGCAGTGAGCAGAGCCTTCCCTCTTGTTCCAAAGGGACACGGTGTCTTTCCTCCAGATGCCCTGGATTCCCAGGGAAATCTCTTTCTCCATCAGCTGATAAGACTGTCTTTCCCCTTCACCTCCTGTCCGTGACGAGAGGCAGAATCCAGACCATGTGCCTCCTGGGGCAGGTGCAGAGTTCCGCCTGGGGACTCTGGGGCACCATCTTTCTTAGGGGTTCTAGGCCAAGAAGGATTTGGGGCCTCTTCATCTCAGCCTAAGTAAGCTCCCCACAGCGGGACCACATCTACGCTGTTCATGTCTCCATGTCCGGCACCTGACCCAGGGCCAGCGCAGGACCTGACCCAGGGCTGGCACAGGGTCAGCGCTTGAGAAATGAGACCTGAATGGGTGGATTGGTGGGTGGATGGGGCATGGACGGGTGGATGGGGGATGGATGGTGGGGGATGGATGGATGGATGGGGGATGGGTGGTGGGGGATGGACAGGTGGATGGGAAATGGATGGACGGGGTGGATGGACGTTTGGAGGAGTGGATGGGTGGTATATACATGGATATTTAGGCAGATGGGTGGATGGGCGAGTGGACAGGTAGCTGTGTGTGTGTGTGTAAATGAAGAGACAGGAGAGCTGAAGTGGGAGGCAAAGTTGGAAGTTCGGAAGCTGCTGTCTGAGTCCAGTGAACTGGAGGGCGGCTCTCAGGTGCTGTGAGTGCAATGCTGACCACCCCCTCCCTGGACACTCACGTGGTAAGAGGCTCGCTCCTCCCGGTCCATGGGCCTCGTGACGTACATGCGTCCAGACATGGAGTCGATGCTGAAGACCTCCATGGGGGGCTGGTCGGCGCCCACGCCCGTGATGCTATACCGAATGGGAATGTCGTTGTCTTTGTCAGACCGGATCTGAGAGGGAGGACACAGGAAGGGTCAGCCTGCTGTGGGGACCGGGCTTCCCAGACACAGCCACCCTACCAGAGTGACTCGATGAATTTTAAGATACACCGGGGACCGCGGCTGATTTTCCATCTGCTCTGGGGACAGGAAGGACAGTCAGCGGTTAGTGTGTCCCATGGCCAGTCAGGTAATGGGAGGGTACAGCGTCTGGATGGGGAGTGTGGGACGCCTGGTGGAGAGCCACTCCTCAGGTTGATTCCAACGCCCCGAGGAGACCAGGCCGGGCACAGAGCAGGCGGAGGCCTGGGGAGAGGGTGTGCAGAGGCCGGGGGAGAGCCCCCTTGCTCCACAGAGGAGGCCCTGGGAGAGGGTCCTGGGAGGTGCCTCACAGTAGGACCTTGGTCACAGAGGGGTGACAGAAGGTGGTGGCGAGCAGTGCTTGGCCAGGAACTGAGCGCTGACAGCCCTTGTCACTGTGATTACAGAGCTAAGTCAGCACAGAACCTTCCTCGGAGAAGCTGCGTTGTGTTGAAAAGCAGCCCAATGGGGCCTGGCCCCAACGCCAAGGTGAGACGGGGAGGAGAGCGTTGGGGCGGGGCCAGGGCCTGCGTTGGCACGGGGCACGGCCGTTTTATTTGAGACCAAATCGTTGGGCGAACAGAGACCTTTGGGAAGCAGAAAGGACAATGCAGAATTAAGAATTGTGTGTCTCTCACCAGTGACAGCAAATGTCTGTGAGGGCCGAGGGACGCGGGGACATGGTGCCATGGGCAGGAGTGCATCACCGCTAAGGGAGGTGCCTTGCTTGGGCTCTGAAAGCCGAGGTCCAGGGGCGGCACCCCCAGGCTTGTGTTCAAGTTTGGCGATACCTTTGGAAAGCACCGCTCCTCAGGACCTCCAGGCTCAGGGGACCACGACAGCGTTCTGTGACCAGATGGACCTTAGGGACAATGTCGAAATGTTCCACAGAACAAATTGACCATGACTTTTTGCTGAAGCATTAAAATGAAAATTTAGTGGTGAAACTTAAAAAGAAGAACTTTTGTCCTGAAATAGCCACTCGGTCAAGTAGGACTCCCAAGTGCTGTTTAAAAATATCCACGAAGCTCAGTCACAACTAGGAGACGGCGTCCAGCCATCACGCTCGCCCCAACGCACCCACACTCAGAAGAGAGCTACAGCAGGAGAAGGAAGGCAGCACCTGGCGGCAGGAGGAAGGGACCTGGAGGGGGATGCCGGAGCCCCACTGATGGTGGGGACCGTGGTGTCTAGGCCTGAAGAGCAGCAGGCCAGGAGCCAGCCTCGGGGCTTCTCAGGAAACTAACGCACATTTGCAACTTTATCTGGGTACCAGGGGCTGAACTTAGGGGTGCTTAACCACTCTGCCTCCACCCAGCCTTTTATTCTGAGACAAGGCCTAACTGAGTTGTGAGGCTGGCTTCACACTGAGGATCCTCCTGCCTTAGCCTCCCAAGTCACTAGGATCACAGGTGAGCATCATCAAGCCTGGCACCTTTGGTACCTTTACGAGGAAACAAAAGAGACTTTTAACACCCTGTTTTTTATATGTCACACAAGCACAACTGAGAATCCTGATGATATTGACATGTTTTGAGACAATAGAAACAGACCGGAGCCGTGAAGGGGGCGACAGACCTCATGTCGGCAGGAGGCTCCAGCCTGCGGGGCAGGGGCTTTCCCAGAGCAGAGAGAGAAGAGCAGCCTCTGGGTGTCACAGAGCCTGAGAGCCAGGACGTGCTGTCCCTCTGGGGCAGTGAGCCGGGCTGCGGGCCAACCCCAGGAGTGGTGGGAGGGGCCCCGACAGGCCCTGGAGCCCCTCACCTCCCGGGAGCAGGTCGGTCCCAGACGCACCTCTGCAGGGGAGACAGGCAAGGGCCGCAGCGGAGGCTGCAGAGGAATGCGATGACCATTCTTTCCTGTTCAAGGTGTTCCCCACACCGCAAGCCACACCCCAGGAAGCCCCCGCTCTTCGGAGGCAGACCCTGCAGGACCAGCTCTCCCTGTAGCTGTTCCAGAGCCCTCCACTATGGGTAGAGGTGCCCCTGCCACCTGCCACCCCCCTCCACCTTGGAGGGCACCAGTCATGGCGACAGGAAGCAGAAGTCTTCACCTGGGAGTGAAAGGAGGCGGGTTCTGATGCAGGTCACGGTGAGTCTGCGGAGGAGGCGGCTGGGACACGGGGGCTGTGTGTGTGCTGTCATGGCATTTGCCTCTGGTGTGTGCACACCACCGGGCTTTGAGCCCACCAGCCTGGGCAGCACAAGCTCCAGCTGGGTCTGAATTGACCCCCTCCTCTGCAGGAGGCCACAGGGTAGTGTCCCCTCAGAGCCAGCCCGGCTGAGGCAGGGTGTTCTCCCCCTGTCCTCTGTGGGCGAGGCCCTAGGGAGTTTCACAAAGCTTTGGCCACCAGGCCACACAGGGTGAGTCTCACCTGTGCCCCTCTGTGGTGGGAGAGGGGAGCAGGAGGCTGTGACCCCCCAGGCAGGGCCTGTGGGCTGGTGTGTGTGACTGGGTTAGGATGAGGGCACAGAGGGCCTTGAGTGCTGCCGCCAGGTCACCCTGGACCCCAGGGACACGCGGAGCCAGGGGAACCTCGGAGGCAGGCAGGGCGCGCAGGAGGCCACCAGCCAGGGAAGACGGCGCTGCTCTCGGAGCTGCCACTGCCGCGTCTTCAGGCCGAGCCCCGCCTTTCACGGGAAATTTAATCATACAACCGCTGAAAAGGACCTGCCACAACTTAAAGATGATTGTTTTGCACAGAAATCTCATTATGTTCTGACCACTGGGCCGCATTTGCTGAGTTCTTCAGGGCCGCTCGGCGCTGCCTTGTGACACACGAGGGCAGTGGGCCACGGTGGGCCGGCGTCTGCCCGGGTCTTGGCAAGGGCTCTCAAGTGCCCAGAATTCTCCCGCGGTTTTCCATGTGAGGAAGAAACACTGTGATGATTCACCGGATCAGGGGATAGCGGTTTCCCCCTTGGTTTGTGTCTGGAAAGTGAGAAAAACATCACAGCAGTGTGCGGGGGCGGGGGCGCCAGGAAGGAGGAGCGCAGCCGGCGTTCCCATCACACTCCGGGCTTCATGGTGCCACCGAGAATCGCCCTCTTTTGCATTTGTTATTAAAGGACAGAACAGATGGCGAAAGTTTGGTTTAAAGTGATGTCTGCATTAAAATAACGTATGGCGGCCTGTGATCATGCCCGCCCAGGGCGCCTGTGAGGCCGGCTCTGTCCTTGGGAAAGGCTGGTGGAGGGGTTCCGGCAGGACCAGCTGAGCAGGAGCGGGTGCTGGATCCCACAGGAGGCCGAAGCTGACAAGACCCCGTGTGTGGCCCTGCACCTGGTGTCCACCAGAGACTTCACCTGTCGGGGGAGACCCTCGGCCTTGAGCAGGCAGTCAGCAACTGTCCCATGCAGGGCCAGAGGGGCTGCACGACCACACGGCCTGCCTGGCAGGTCACCTGCTACAGGCTACAGCTGTCTACCAAAGGGACACCCCTAGTGACAAACATGCAGACCGTGTGAGGGACGGGGCCTGGAGCACCTTGGAGGAGGTCAGGTCCACCCTGAGCCATTTGCTCATGTTCACTGCCTTGCACAGTTCCTGGGCCCACAGAAGCATGCACACACACACACACACACACACGCAGTCCAACAGATGCACACACAAATGTACACAAACCCAACACATGCGCACACATAAACATGCACACACACAGCAAATAAACAATACAACACACACACTTCACAGAAACATGCAAATACACACATGCCCACATGAACACACACAGACACCTAACACAGCACAAAGACTCCCACAAACACACAGGTACACACCCACACGTGTGTGCCCACCATGGCTCCCCCTCCCTGGGCTGCCTCCTGGAGGAGGGCTGGCCTGCGGTTCTGCCACCGTGCAGCCCCCTGGTCCCCCCTGGTCCCCCCTGCATTTCCAAAGGTGCCTTCACACTCCTGCTCAGGTCTCCCGCCAGGACCTTGTTCTGAGGACTTTGTCTTAAGCCCGAGGCTTTCTCCTTGCACCATGTTAAACCCCGAGGTCCCAGGGAGACAGTGCACAGCTCTCCTTTCTGTCACCTGTCGATTCTTGGGTGGCCTGCGCAGAGCCTCCTCTCCTCCTGCTCCAGGTGCAGGCTGCGGGCGCTGGCTCTCCTTCCTCCCTCCTGGCCGGCCGAGAGGGGCGATTTTGTCTTAAGCCCTGACTCTGCTGGAGCCCAGAGGCAAGGCTCAGCCAGGTCTCACGGTGACGGTCACTCCTGGTCTTGGCTCTCATGCTGCCAGGGCACCAGGTTTTCCAGGGTTCTGTGACTGCTCCTGCTCTGCAGGGACGGCTCCCTCCCCGCCTCCCTCCTCCTGCCTCCCTCCCCCCGCCCCCCCCCTCCTGCCCCCTTCCCTGCCTCCCTTCCCCACCTCCCTCCTCCTGCCTCCCTTCCCCACCTCCCTCCTCCTGCCTCTCTCGGCCCCTCCGCCCACCTTCCCTTCATTTCTGAGCTCTGAGGTTGCCCTGCGGCCACTCTGGGCCCTGGACACACAACAGGGTGATCTGTCCCAAGAGTGGCTTGCCCAGGCCTGACACCGAGCGCTTGGCCGGTGCCCAATAACTACTGGATGAACAAATGAAATAAGGAGGCCGGGTCCACGGACAGGGTGGACAGACAGCCACCAGGTCACCAGTGTGGTGCGGGCAGAGGGAGGGTTTGGAGGAGCCACCACCTTGAGACCCGGAGGATGAGAAGGGGCAAGGGTGGGGCGTCTCTGAGTGGGTAGCCCGTGTGGGGCAAGGACAGTGAGCCTCGGAGAGGGGAGGGAGCGGGCAGTGGAGGGGGCTGGCTGAGAATGCCCGGAGCAGAGGAGGAGGGGCCACGCCAAGGCTGGGCGGCTTCTGGAGCCGCCTCCTGTCCCCTCTCCCTCCTTGATCCTGGGGTCCTTGGTTCCAGGTGCAGTTAGTTTCCAGCGACCCGTCCTCATCTG